GGGGTCTGATTTTTTTTAAGTTCTTTATATATTCTAGATAGTAGACCTTTGTCTGAGAAACAGCTGGTAAAATTTTTTTTCCCACATTGCAGGTTGTCTCTTGGCTCTGTTGATGGCTTCTCTTGCAGTGCAGAAGCTTTTTGATAAGGTGAGATCCCAATTGTTAATTCTTTGTGCTACTTCCCGTGCAACTGAGGATTTGTTCGTAAAGTACTTTCCTATGCCAATGTCTTTGAGAGTTCTACCTAACTTGTCTTCCAGGAAGTTTAATGTTTCTGTTTTGCCATATCGAGGGCTTATTTATTGTATAAAATTTTGTTTCATTTTAGGTTTTGTTATATAACCACAAATCTAATTCATACTGGGGTTTTTTGGGGGTTTGTTTTTTTTGGTACTGGAGGTTGAACTTGGGTCCTTGTGCTTGCGAGTCAGGTGGCAGAACCACTGAGCTAAATCCCCAGCCCTTTCATACTGTTTTTTTGTTTTGGTTTAGTTTGGGGTTGTTTTGGGGGGGGGTACCCAGGGATCAAACTCAGGACCTTGTGCTTGCCAGGCAGACACGGTGCCACTGGGCTAAATTGCTAGTCCCTAATTCATTGTTAACAGTAGCAAATTAATAGTTGCCATAGTTTGCCATTTTCTAGGCTGTATTAGATGCTATTTTTATTGCTGATTGTACTACTTTAGCTAAGCTGACATAATTGTGCTAATCAGTTGTTCTTCCTCATATACCAAGACTGAGATTGCCTAGGGGTCTTAAAAAATGCTATAGGCAAGTGCCAAAGAACTGGGTCCTGGGCCAAGTAGGCAGAAACTTCTCATCCCCAATAAATTGAAGAGGTAAGATCTTGCAACAGACTCAAAACCCAAAAGCCAGCTACACCTGGAAGACATCTCTTAGAAGTAGTCACTTCCTAAGGGTTCTGAATACTGGCAATAAAGCTACTTGCCATAAGCAATTTACAAGCATCAACCAAGGAATGAAACTAAAAAAAAAAAAAATAATAAAGAAAATGAGAAGATACTTAAACAAGATGCAATGCCCCCATACTTTCAGTGACCAAAGGTAAACCCAAGGGGCAATGAGGTGGAACAATCTGAAAGCCACTAACCTGGAGTCTCTGAAATGGTAACAGTGGAAGTAACAAAGCAGTTGAATGAGTCTCCAGAAAAAAATAAAAGTAAAAATAATTTCTCAGATAACTACAGAAATGATGACCATAATTAGTGACTCTAGAGCAGACACAGATTTTTTTAAAAAATAGATGATCTCAGGAAAGTAATGGAAACCATAAATGTCCAGCATAGGAAAGAAATGGAATCCATGAAACAGATTCAAATAGATATCCAGGAGATTAAAAATTCCACTGAAAGTATATGCAGCAAGATGAGCCAACATGAGGACAAAATACCACATATAGAAGACAGTATTATCGTTAGTGATCGTGAAAAGAAAGATCTCTTAAAAAATAGCAAGGGACCACAAGAAATCGATCCAGCAGTTGCTAGATGATGCAAAGGAAAATAACATAAGATTGATTGGAATCAATGAAAAAACAGTAGACAGCGCAAATGACATTAAAAAAACACCTGTTCACAGGTAATGACAGAAAACAGTGAAAAAGAATTTGATATACAGATAAGTGAGGCATATAGAATTGCAATTAGCCATGATCAAAATAAAACTTCACCAAGGCATGTAACAGTCAGGATTCCAGAAATCCAATATAAGAACAGAATATTAAAAGCTTTTAGAGAAAGAAACAAATCACCTACAAAGGAAAGCCCATCAGAATCACAGCAGATTTCTCAATGCAAACCCTCAAGGCAAGAAGAGCTTGGGGTGAAGTATTTCGAACCCTGCAAACAACCTCCAACCAGATAGGTGTACCCTGCAATTAGCAAAAGTACTTTCCTCCCCTGCACACATAAGGAAAGTCAGGCTTAGGAGGGGAGAGACAGCCAGGAAGTTTGAGCCTTTTTGAGAGTATGAGGGAGTGAGTTAAAAGGGTAGTATAGAAATTCTCTCCTGAAGTGAATGTATTTTGGTTCCTTAAGTATAATGCTTAGGAAATAGCTCCTTCAGGTGTTACCCAGAAGTCAGTTCTTTGCACTGGATCTCAGGGTTCAATTTCCTCTACCACTGGACAAGGAATTGTACCCAGAACACTAGGTGGGGACATTACCTTCATGCATATTCTCCTGGATGGGCAAAATTCCCATTTCTCATCTGACCCAAAGATGGGGCATGTGTTCCTCATCTAAGATGGCTTCTCTGTCTTTGGTGTTAAAAAAATGCTCATTTTCTATGGGCTCAATTTGTTGTTGGATACAAGGGAAAGGTTGAAACCTAAAACCTTTTCAGAGTCTCTCTCTTTCTCTCTGATCTTTAGAAGAAACATGCCTCCAAAAAAGGCGGGAACGTACAAAGTGACAGGAAAAATCAGAAATGAAATCAAAGAAAAGAAAGTCTCCTCTTCTCGGGCTCACAGTGAGTTACTGAGACAGTTTGCCCATGAGTTATCACTCTCTGCCTGGAAAGGTGAGAATAGGGAATCTCAACAGTAGAGATTGCCTTCTCACCAGCGGAAGATCAGACCAGAAAGGAAACAGGCAGAACAGGCTCGACATTCCCCTCCATGAGCATGGAGGGAGTATCAGGCCAGACTGTCTCACTGAATCCTGTCCTCCCAGATTTAAGATCGGCAGCTGCACTGTCAAAATTAACTGGCTGAGGGAGTCCTGAATTTATAAGAGGCATTTCTATTTCATAAACTACATTTCATCCAACAACCTCCCCCCGTGGTTAGTATCAAAATCCACTAGGGGGCACTCTAACAATACTTTTCCCTAGCGACACTTACCTGAGATGAGACAATATCCATAACAGACAAACAAGTCAAGCTAGTCAAGCAAGGAACACCAGTAAACTCAGCAACTAATAAGTCTATACAAAAAATAGGAATACAGGACCCTTCCTGCAAAACTAAGTGTCTCATCAAAGAAACATCATAATCTTCCCTTGTTCTCAACTTAAATTTACCATCATTTGATAAAAAACAAGGCCTAAAAAAAAAGGCATATTTCTTTTTTTTTTCTTTTTCTTTTTTTGGTACCAGGGATCGAACTCGGGACCTTGTGCTTGCGAGGCAGGCAGCGGCACCACTGAGCTAAATCCCCGGCCCAAAAAGGCATATTTCTTGAGAGCTGCCATTCTTTCTGGAGTGAGATGGAATCTCAGTGTTGTTTTAATTTGCATTTCACAGATGACCAGTAATATTGAACATTTTTTTCATATATTTATTTGCCAGTTCTAATTCTTCATCTGAAAAGTGTCTTTTTATTTCAGATGCCCATTTTTGCATTGGGTCCTAAATTTGGGGGGGGGTGTTCTGATTTTTTTGAGTAAATGTTGGAGGGGCTGTGGGAAAAAAGGAACCCTTTTCCACTGTTAGTGGGAGTATAGACTGGTGCAGCCACTATGAAAATCACTGTGGAGATTTCTCAAAAAACTAAAACTAGAGGTTCCATTTGACCCAACTATACCTCTTCTTGGTATCTTCCCAAAAGAATTAAAAGCATCATACCACAGCGATATATGCACATCCATGTTTAGAGCAGCACAGTTTGTAATAGCTAAATCTTGGAAACAGCCCAAGTGCCCATCAACTAAGAAGTGGATAAAGAAGATGTGGGTTTTTTATACAATGAAGTGCTACTCTGCCATAAAGAAGGATGAGCTTCAGACATTTATAGCTAAATGGATGGACCTTGAGACCATCCTCTTAAGTGAAATAAATCAGACACACATGTCTGAATACCACATTGTTTCTCTGGTGTGAGAAGCCAAAAGTGGAAATAAGGACTGAAATGTATAATGGATGTTGGGAAATGGGAAAAAAGAAAGTGTTCAAATGTGATGGGAACAAGGGAAGGGTGGTGTAAGGAGGAAAGAAAGGGACAAGAAAAAAGTGAACATAGAAGGAAATAATGGAAACAAAGATTTGTATATAGGGAGGGGAGGGGGCTTGCAGGGGGGAGTGGGATAAAATAAAATAAAATTTAATTTAAAAAAAAAAACAAGGCATAAGCAACTGGCAAACAAGAATGACAATTTCTGATTACCGAAGTAAGTCACAATCCAGAATCCATGAGACAAAAGCAAACTCTTACCTCCTTCCAGTTATCTCAGTGGGGCCTTCAAAATGATATAGGGGGAGGACTGGGGATTTACCGCAGTAGTTCTGATGCCTGCCTTACAAGTGCAAGGTCCCGAGTTTGATCCCCGGTACCCCCCACCCCAAAATGATACAGGGGGGAAAACCAACCTGCTATATCAGATACACCAAGTTTATGTTCCCAAGTTCATGTTAGAATGAACTCTAAGGACCAACAAAGGTTAAGAGTAGGAAAATTTATTGGGGTAATGGGAAATAGGAAGAGCTCCTGAGAGGCAGGAGGCATCTCAAAAGCGTTGTCTGGCAGATTGTATCCTTTGAGGAATTGGTCAAGTTCATGTAAATTTATTGGCACATTTATTATCTTTGTACTGGTGTGCCTTCTTTCACTTCTGATATTAGTAATTTGTTCAATCTCAGTCTATCTCTGTCTCTGTTTTCTCTCTCTCTCTCCCTTCCTCCCTCCCTCCCTGTCTCTCTCTCTCAGATTGCCTTTCATTTTTTTAATTTGAGACAGTCTCACTAAGTTGCTAGGTTGTCCAGGCTGGACTTCAACTTGCAATCCTCCTGCCTCAGCCTCCCAGTGGGCTAGGATTACAAGCATGCACCATCATACTCAGCTCGAACTCTCTTTTAGATGTCTTAGCTGGGCTACAGACTTATCAATTTTATTGATCTTTTCAGCTTTTGATTTTGTTGATTTTCTCTATTGATTTCTTATTTTCAATTTCTTTTATTTCCATTTTAATGATTATTTCATTTCTTCTGCTCACTTTGGTTTTAATTTGCACATCTCTTTCTCATATCCTAAGGTGGAAACTTAAATGACTGATTTTAGATTTTCTTTTTCTAATATATGCCTTCAATGCTGTAAGTCTCCTTCTAAGCACTACCATCACTATACCTCATCAGATAGAATATTTTAGTACAAACCTTGTTTGTTATTAGTTGTTGTTCCAGTTCTCTTGTTCCAGTTCTTCATATGTCTTATTATTGTTCAAACAACCCCAATGACAATAGTGCCATTCCTACATCTCTGTCCAGTGTTGTTCTAAGGGGCAATAAGAATTAGCCTGAACCACTGCACACCATTAGGACTGAAGCTCTCTAGTCAGTTGGCTGTACTGGTTCACATGGTTCATGCTATTCTCTTCAATGGAAAACACAGCAAAATCCTATTCCTTAACAATGCTCCCCTGGTCTGCTGCTTTCACTATCATCATATTGTTGTCACGCTTCTTTATATCTCTAGTGACAGTGTGCTCTTGGCTTTGTTGCTACTGAGGAGTGATAAATTATTATTTTCTGTGATACCCTTTTGGCCTCCAAATATAACTCTTCCTATTAAATAATTTCTTGCTTCCCAAAAAGCACCTACCAATCTCTTGAGGGAGGAATCACACCTATAGTGTTTATTTCTATATCTCCAAGATTGTTCATGGCACATAGTAAATATTCAACAATATTTTCTCAATCAATGTTTCAAATGCCTCAAAAATTGGCTGGAGAAAATTTAAATGACACTATCTTACTTTAAAAATATCCCTTCTTGACCTGTGGATATAGCTCACTCATAGAGTGCTTGCTTAGCATGTATGAGGCGTTGGGTTCTATCCCCAGGACCGCAAACAAAAAAGTAAATAAAAAATAATCTCTAGCTTCCACTCCAAACAAATGTCACTGACTCATTTTTTTCCTTTTTTTCTAAGCACAACTATAAACCCTGGAAATAATGCAAGAGGAAACCATGGGAGGACTCCAAAGGTAAAGAGGAAAAGTCAAGGTGGCTAAAGATAACAAACAGGAGGAACAGCACAATGGCCAGGTATCTTTGATCCCACTCAAAAGAAGGCACCCCAGTCTCTGAACTGTAACCTAATAGAAGACAGTGTAGGTAGCTTCATTTCTCCCCTGGATTAACTAGGATTGCTGCCAACACTACCAGACAGACCAGGTGGCTCTGGCAAGGAAAAAGCTCCTTTGCAGCAAGTAGACCCAGGGAATCAGTTTTTATCGCTGAAAGCTGAGAATTCCCTGCCTAGATGCATAGGTGACCTGGATTGAGGAAATGCCTTTCAAACCTACACAAGGCAGCTGGGATCAGTGGGAAGCCTAATGACCCTGGAGGAACTGAGCAGACCAAATTAGCACAGCAAAAGTTCTAAACATTAAATGGTCACTGAAATCACAGTCTACAAGTAGACCAGGACCCGAGTGAAACATGAAGTATCTCTCTTCTAAAATAGAAGATTTAAATAAGACCCAGAATTTCCTGACAATAATCCAAACTTCCAAGATACCATAGAAAAATCCCATGGGGCTGGGGGTCGCTCTGCAGCACATGTTTAACATGAGGGATGTCCTGGGTTCAATCCATAACAACAACAAAACAAGTAGATAATTAAATAACACTAGCACCAGGACGAAATAGGTGTTGAAATTATCTGACATGAGTTTTAGAGCAGTCATTACAAATATGCTTTAATAAGTAATTATGAATTCACTTGAAATAGTGATAATACAAAATATCTCAGCAAAGAAATAGAAGTTAAAAGAAAAGGAAAATAAAAAATATAGTAACAAGATCTTTAAAAAACAGGCTCAATCACAAAGTAGAAATGAGAGGACAGATAAATACAATTCACCCCACCTGAACAGCTTGGGAGGCTAGGACTAAGAAAGCCTGGAGTGGTGGCACATCCCTGTAATCCAGCTACTCAGGAGGCTAAGGCAGGAGGATTGCAAGTTCCAGGCCAGCCTGAGCAACTTAGTGAGACTCTGTCTCAAAATAAAAAATAAAATAAAACAAAAAGGGTTACGGATACAGCTCAGTGGTAAAGTATCTCTGGGTTCTATTCCCAGTACTGAAAAAGAAAAGAAAAAGAAAAAATATACATGCTTTCTCCATTGACCAAGAATCTTTCTTTTACTATACAATGAATTCCCTTCCTGATACTTTTAGCCCTACTCTCATCCTCCCCAAAGAGTTGGTGGACTTTGTCAACCGTCTTTGTCCTATACCGATATCACAGGGGCCTCGCTCTT